ACATGTGCACTTAGTGGTCTTGATGACATCATTTGAGCGGTGCTACTATTCTCACCTTTTCTGAGTTGTTCCTCTCTCCTTAACATAAGTAACTGCCTTGTATGGTTCCTATCTTAGCTTTCAAGTTACTGTTTATCAGTTTGATCCCATAGGTTGTTATTGTTAAGTGTTGTCCAGTCGATTCTGACTCCATAGCAACCCCATACAGGACTTATGAGGAATGGCTGGTGGGTTTGAAGCTCCAGCTTTGCTGTTAGCAGTACAACGTTTATCCTACAGCATCATACCAGTACTCATGTGGTGGTGGTAGTGATGTGGTGTGGAATTGGTTCCTACTCATAGCCACCCTGTACAGGGTTTCCGAGGCTGTAAATCTTTAGGGGAGCAGAAAGCCTCATCTTTCTCCCATGGAACAGCTGGTAGTTTCAAACTGCTGACCTTGCGGTTCACAGCCCAATTCGTAACCCCTACGCTACGAGAGCTCCATATAGGTAGTTCTTAAAAAAGCACATGCTCAAGGCAGACTTTTAAAATATTTTTTTTACTAATTAAGCTAAGCTATTGTTTGAGTCCTGTTGTGGCCCTGTGTGTTAATGAACCAGACTGCATAGCCGTTTGAACGACAAGGTTCACTGTTTAAGCTCACCAGTGGCTCCTCGGAAACCCCATATAGCATCGTCACTATGGGTCAGAATCGACTCAATGGCATTTAACAACAACATTGTTTGCTTTTAAGAAGACTTTGTTGTTGTTATGTACAGTGGAGTCAGTTCCTACTCAAAGCGACCCTGCATAGGGTTTCCGAGGCTGTAAATCTTTACGGGAGCAGAAAGCCTCATCTTTCTCCTGCGGAGCAGCTGGTTGTTTTGAACTGCTGACTGTAGAAGACTTTAGGGGGTACTTCTCATTTAAAATTTAAAGATGATCTTGGGGCATGGTTTCAGAGGTTCATCTACTTTCCAGAAAGTCTAAAGTCCTGAGAACTTGAAATTCTGTTCTGTATTTTCTTCCTTTTGGTTCAGGATTCTTCTGTAGAATCTTTGATCAAAATGTTCAGCTATGGTAGCTGGTCCTAATGCAAAGGTTGTTCATGGAGACAATTAGTCACCCATTCCTATCCTCCTCTATGACTCTACTTCTTTCTCAGTTGCTCCAGGTGAAACAGAGACCAGTTACTGTGTCTTGGAAGGCTGCTCGCAAGCTTTAAGACCCCAGTTGCTATGCAACAAGCTAGGAGGTAGATCAGAAGCACTAAACACATTGTTAGGCCAATTAAGTGGGATTTTGTTATAAATGAATCTATTGCACTACTTTTGCAATCACCTTTTTTGCATATGTCAGCTTATTGACATTACAACAGTTACAACAGTTGGCTCTACCACCCTACCCTTAGTCAATGCAATTTTTTTAATCACTATTAACTCCCATCTCCCCCTCTCTCCTGCGCCTGGTAACCACTAATCAACTTAGGGTTCTACAGATTTGCCTCTTGTCTTTTTATACAAGTGAGGCCTTACAAGATTTATCCTTAGTGATTGGTCTGTTTCTTAATAATGTTATTTTTTGAATTTTGTACTTCAAATATGATCTATTGACCTCCTGTTATAAAGATTCAGAACTTTTACTCCTCAGTCTCCTGCCCCACTTGACAGAGCCTTTCTTCCCTCTAGAACTATATAACAATGTGGGTTGGCTACGCCTTTGTTCTGCCAAATCCTCCCTGTGTAAGCATTGCTCCCAATGTAAGTGACGTGCTATGATTATGTCGCTTTTCCTGAACAACTTTTTGGTTTCCTGCAAGTTGTGTCTTTTTGTGTGTTTGTTTTCCATGTCCCCCAACCTCTCAAACAAAACCATATAAGGTCCTCCTATATTGCTAAATATAACAGCTAATTTTTTTTAGTTTTAGTTTTTTTTTTTAAGACGTTCCTTCTGGAACCCTCCATCCTATTGTAAGCAAAAATATTTTGGCATACATTGCTGTATTAAAATTAGTATTTTAATGGTAGCAGAGATTTAATTTGCTTCATTATTTCATTCCTTTCTTACTGTGTTTGTTGTTGTTTAGTGTTGTTGAGTCGGCTCCAACTCATAGCAAATTCTGTATAGGGTTCCCAAGGAGCGACTGGTGGGTTTGACCTGCCAACCTTTTGTTAAGCAGTCCCATGCTTATCCTAGAGCCACACTAAAATATATATGACATAAAATTTGTCATTTTAACCATTTTTCAATGTACAGTCTGTTGTTGTTGTTGTTAAGTGCCGTCAAGTCGGTTCCGACCCATAGCGACCCTGTACAGGGTTTCCGAGGGTGTAAATCTTTACGGGAGTAGAAAGCCTCATCTTTCTCCTGCAAAGCGGCTGGTAGTTTAGAACCGCTGACCTTAAGGTTCGCAGCCCGATTCATAACCACTATGCTACCAGAGCTCCTTATGTACAGTCTAGTGGTGTTAATAATTATAATGCTGTGCAACTTTCAGCACTGTTTCCCAAATAGAAACTCTGTGGTGTGGTGCTATGTATGGGTTAATGCGCTGGACTGCAATGTCAGTTGGCAGTTCAAGCTCCCCAGCCGCTACTCGGAAACCGTATACACAGGGTCTTTGTGGGTCAGAACCGACTCTATGGCACTTAACAACAACAGTAACAACCCATTACATAATAATGCCTTATTTTTCCCTCCCCTTAGCCTCTAATATCCTCTAATCTATTTTTTTGGGTCTATGAATTTACCTATTCTGGATATATTATGTGGAATTATGCAACATGTTTCTTTTTATGGCTGAGTAAGGGTCTGTTGCCGAGGATAAACATTTTGTTTATCCATTCATTTGTTGATGGTCACCTGGGTGGTTTCTCTGCTTTGGCTGTTGGAAATAGTACTGCTATAAACACCGGACGCACAGATCTCTTGGAGCCCTCCTTTCCAGTTCCTTGGGGGTGTTTATCTAGGTGTGGGATTGGTGGGTTATATGGTAAGTCCTGGTGTGGTGCTTTAGGATAAGCACTGGACAGCAGTTCAAACCCACCAACCACCCCTCAGAAACCCTATACTGCGTTGTTAAGAGTCGGAACTGACTCAGTGCCACTTACCAACACCAACAACATGATAATTCTATGCTTAACTTTTGAGGAACTGCTTCGTTACTTTTTAAATGTTGTTTTGAAAAAAATTCAAACTATAGAAAAGTTGCAAGAATTGTACAATGAACTCAGCTACCTAGATCAAAAGATTGTGAGGCGTTCCTCTCTCAATGTTCAGAACCGTTGTGCTTCAACATGGCAGTGTTTGCTTGCTTGCTTGCTTGCTTTTTTAAATTTTTGTTTCTGCTGGCCTTTCAACCTGGAAATTCATGTCCCTCGTATCTCCAGTTCTGAGAACGTCCTTTTCTTTTCTTAGTTTCCTTTCTGCCATATTCTACGCTTACTTTTTCTGGACGCTCCGATTGGGTGGATGTGGGACTTCTGGGTTTCAGCTCTATGTTTTGTTCACCAGATTGGAATCTTTTATCATCTTTATCTTCTAATCCTACCCCCTTAAAAAAAAAACAAAAAACTTAAAGCCATCAAACCAGAGGGTTTCCTGCTCTTTGAGACATCATTTTAAATAAAACATAACACTTCCCATTTCATAGCTGAAGAATCTTACTGCTCCGAGGATCATAATTTATCGGTGATGCTGCATTCGTTTTCTTCTGCTGTTTCTACTGTGGCTGTTTGCTCTGAGATCCTTTTCTTCTATTTGTTCATTTTAATTTCTCTTCATGCAAAAGATGCTCTTGAAATGTCTGTGACTCTAGGGTCTGGTCCTGGTTAGGAGGGAGGCCCTGGAAAGCCGACTGGAAGTTCTTTGTGTGAGGGCAGAGCTGCGTGCCCTGAGGGCTTCACTTCTCAGTGATGGGCAGCAAGCTCACCTCATGGCTGCCAGCGTCCGGGAGTGGGGGTGGTGTGGGGGACTGAAAGGCTGCAGGGCTTATCATTCAGAGTATAGATTTTAATCTGTGTTTCCCTCTCAACTCTGCCAGTGTTTCCGTGCCTGGAGTTTCCGTTTCTAAGGAGAGTCAAGCTCCTTCTGCCAGGGCGAGGGAAGAAGAGTAGTTAGTTGCCTGGCTGAGAGGGAGTCAGTCAAAAAGGAAGGGTCTTTAGCTCTGGATGTCTTACTCCTCCTTCTGCATCTTTTAGCCAGGCCTCCTGTTTTCAGTCCTACCTTTCCTCTTACCTCATGAGGTACCTGGTAAGTTGAATTCCTGAGCCTTTGTGGGCTTGCTTGCTTTTGTTGGCTCCCCTCTTTGTACCCACATAGCTTTCAGCTCTCACTTCTGGAACCCCTTTCAGTCTTTCTGAAGTATGCTAGTCTCACCATCAGCTCTTTTCTCCTCTCATTTTTCCATCATTGTGATTTACATTGCCTCATATTTATTAACTGTCATGCGAGTGAGTTTCAGGAGGCAGTGGAGATGAATACATGTGTTTAATCTGCCATGTTGAAACATACATTTTTTAAATTAACAAAAAGTCCATTCCTCCTTCAGTGGTGTCAGACCAGACAAGGAGACGTAGTGGTGCTGTGGGTTTAGGTGGTGGGCTGCTAACAGCAAGGCCAGTGGTTCCAACCCAGCAGCCACTCTGTGGGGAAAACACGAGATGTCAGCTCCCGTAAAGATTTATAGTCTCAGCATTGAGGATGGCACAGGACCGGGCAGTGTTTCCTTCTGTTGTGCATAGGGTCACTGTGAATTGGAACCGACTCAGTCACACCTAACAACAATGACAACTGTGAGTTGGGATCGGCTTGATGGCGGGGGGGGGGGGGGGTTGTTTTTTGTTTCTTAATACAAACTTCGAAGAGGGGAAGACTTTGAACAGCTGCTTAACGCTTGAGTTGAACATAGTAAAAGCTGCCCCGACCTTAATGTTGGGGCTTATTATTGATGCTGGGGAAGGGCCCACCCCACTGTTATGAGGCTGTTCTCTCAGCCACATTCATGTGCTTTCTTACAGAAATGGAGCAGCGTGAGCAACCCACTTTTCCTTCCACTGATCCCGCCACAGTCTCAAGGCTTTACCGCCATCGTTCTCACCTACGACAGAGTGGAGAGCCTCTTCCGGGTCATCACAGAAGTATCCAAGGTGCCCAGTCTTTCCAAGCTGCTAGTTGTCTGGAATAATCAGAATAAAAACCCTCCAGAAGGTGAGGAGAGTGAGGAAGTGGTATGTTGGGGAGAGGCTTGGTTTGGGATTTCATCTCTGCAGCTTTCAGCTGGATTGCTTTGGGGTGGAGATGGGGAAGCGCACTATTTGCATCCTTGGTTTCAAATGCATTGCCTTGCCTTTTCAGACAATGCCATTTGAGGCAACCTGCCCCAATTTTCTCAATTCTTTCCCGCTTGTTCCAGGGTGGCCCATTGAACTCTAAGCCCATGGCATGCTCTGTAGCCACAAGTGTTTGGGGGCTTAGGAATGGAAGGATCAAAGGCCAGCAGCTTGGGGAAAACAGATCTCAGCTTCCCGCAGCCATCTCAGCTGATTTGTTTACATGAAAACTCAGTTTAAAAGGCATTAGTTTTCTCCTTTCTTATCTCTGCTGTGATTCTATGCTCTCCTTCAGACACAGGGATAGCCTCGGCTTTGTTCTTTCAAGGGAGCTCTCTCCAGACTCTCCCAGTGGTCCATCCCTAGCCACCCTTCTCCTTGCCGGGGCCACCCCTGTCATCTGCTGACTGGCAGCTAGGGCAGAGGACTATCTGATAAATTGAATTTGTTTTTAATTCGGGGCACAGAGAGTATGTTCCACCTGCATTTAGCTTCTCATTGAGCCTGGCTATTACTGATCCCAATCCCGGGGACTTCAAAGCTGCTGTCATTTATAGCCTATTAAAGCCAGGAAGTTTCTGATGGATTAGAGCAAGGAATGGGTTTGAAGTTTGTAATGTGCACCACTGTCACTGATAAGGTCTGCTTTATTACCCGACAGTAGTATCTGTGCTTTTTATGACTGTTCCCGGGGACTTCCAGTGCTAGATCTAGAGTCTAGGCTAGAGGAAGACCATATTTTTTGGCTGTGTTAGCAAATCAGGGGGAAAGTTTCAGTTCTTACTGAGATCTTAAAAAAAAAAATTTTTTTTTTTTTTTGCCTTTTAAGATTTTTGTGCTCTGAGAGAACCACATGCTTTCTTTTTCAAACTTAGGTGCCATCGTTGGCGTAAACCCCAAGCCGCTTTCACTGACACTCCCTGAAGTACAACTTTGTTATTTGTAATTAATGACACTTTTCTATACCAAGTTTTGTGGGGTTTTTTCCTCTCTCCGTACTACAAAAATGCCCATTTTCTGAACTTCTGTTTGGTTTTGTTTGTTCAATTCTGAATAAGGGAGAAAGAAAGGTAGAAGAAAAAAGGGAGGCATTGGCACTCTGTAAGAAGGGAGGAAGAGTGACAAGAAATCAGAAAAAAAGTTGTTGTTGTTAAGTGCCATCAAGTCAGTTCTGAATCACAGGCATTGTACAGGATTTTTGAGGAGCAGGTTGTAGTTTTGAACTGTCGACCTTGTGATTCACTGTCCACTGCTAATCCTACAGAGCCCCACAAAGTTGTTGTTATGTGCCATCGAGTCAGTTTTGACTCACAGCGACCCTTTATAGGGTTTTCGAGGAGCAGCTGGTGTGCTTGAACCACTGACCTTGCCATTCAAACTGACTTTGCAGTCCAGCGCATTAACCCACATTGCCACGAATGTTATTGGATAGGAAGGCTTAACATTGTGAAAATGTCAATACTACGCAAAGCAATCTGCACATGTAATGCAACCCCAATCTAGATTCCAACGACATTCTTTAAAGAAATGGAAAAAACGGTTGGAAACTTTATATGGAAAGGAAACAGTCTCCAGATACGCAAAGCACTGCTTAAGAAGAAGAACAAGGTTGGAGGCCTCTCACTCCCTGATTTCAAAATTTACTACATGGCTACAGTGGTCAAAACAGCCTGGTACTGGTACAACGAAAGATACACAGATCAATGGAATAAAATAAATAATCCAGAAATCCATCCACATATAGCCAAGTGATCTTTGACAAAGGGCCAAAGTACATTGAGTTGGGAAGAGATAGTCTCTTCAACAGATGGTGCTGGCAGAACTGGAAACCGATATGCAAAAGATTGAAATAAGACCTTTATCTCACACCATATACCAAAAACAACTCAGCATGGATTAAAGATCTAAATATGAATCCCAGAATTATAAACGTCATCAATGAAAAAATAGGGACCTATTTAAGGACTATAAGGCAGGGCACACGTAAACTACCAAATATTGTGAGAATTGCACAAACAGCAGAATACAAAATAGATGATTAGGGCATACTAAAAATTAGAAATTTATGTACATCAAAAGATTTCACAAAAAGAGTAAAAAGGGAGCCCAAAGAATGGGAAAAATCTTTTGCAATGACATATCAGACAAGGGACTAATTTCTAAAATCTATAGGAAACCACAACACCTCTACAAGAAAAAGGCAAATAACCCATTTAAAAAATGGGCACAGGACATGAAAAGACACTTCACCAAGGAAGACATTTGGGCAGCCAACAAACATATGAAGAAATGTTCATGATCATTAGCCATTGTTGTTCTTTGTTGTGAAGTGCCATTGAGTCGGTTCCGACCCATAGCGACCCTGTATAGGGTTTCCAAGGAGCAGCTGGTGAGCGTGAACTGCCATTAGTCATTAGAGAGATGCAAATTAAAACAACAGTGAGATATCATCTCACACCAACCATAACAGCAAAGTTCAACAAAGCAGAGGATAATAAATGCTGGTGAGGATGTGGAGAGACTGGGACCCTCCTGTGTTGTTGGTGGGAATGTAAAATGGTTCAACCACTCTGGAAAATGGTATGGCACTTCCTCAGAAAGTTGGAAATAGACATACTTTATGATCCAGCCAATCCTCTACTTGGTATATGGTGGTGGTTATGTGCCGTGGAGTTGGTTCCGACTCATAGTGAGCCTGTACAGGGTTTTCGAGGCTGTAAATCTTTATGGGAGCAGAATACCTCATCTTTCTCCCACGAAACAGCTTGTAGTTTCAAACTGCTGACCTTGCAGTTCGCAGCCCGATTCGTAACCGCTACGCTATACTGGAGCTGCTTGTATAGCCACAAGAAATACGAGCCATATCACGAGTAGCTATATGCACACCAATGTTCGTAGCAGCACTATATTTACAATAGTAAAAAATATGTAGACAGCCCAACTACCCATCAGTGGAAGAATGGATAAACAGACTTTGGTACGTACACACAATGGAATATTATGCTACCTTGAAGGATAACAAAGAAGCTGTAAGCCACCGCATAACATGGATGAACATTGAGGACATTATGCTGCGTGAAATTAGCTAGTCACAAAAGGAGAAATACTGCATAAGACCATTATTGAAAAACTTGAGAAAAGGTAGCCATGCTAAAAGCAAAAAGCAAAAATTGTTGTTGGTTTCCAGGGTTGGGAGAGGGGACAGACACATCATAGTTCAGATGTTGGGGATGGCAATCAATATACAAGGAAGTGGGAGGGCAATACACAAGAAGTGGGACGGGGATGGAAGAACATGGTAGATAGGAGAACACTTAGGCAGGTTAGCATGGGCTAAATGTGACAGAGGTAAATAGTGATGTTTGCTCAACCTTGGAACAGCAGGGCTCTGTGATACAGGGATTGAGGCATAGACTGAATGGGTAAAAGAGGGGAAATAATGTTAAGAAGCTTGACTGGCTTATGAATGTTGGTTTCCCTTGCCTACTCATTGTAAAATAGACACTTGAGTGGGATAGAAAGGAATATCGGGAAACATGATTACAGAAGTAAGCCCGTCTTCAGCCTATAACTGATTGAAATACCTAAAAGGGGTTCTAGAACTTGTCCAGTGAAATAGGCTTCCTGCAGAGCCTTTGTAGTGTATAGGACCTTAGGTGGAATCCTGAGCCCTATCTAGAACCTTCTGAGGTGGAACAGTCCCACTTGAAAGGACATGCAGACCAGCCAGGAGCAGCTAGAGGAACATCCTGAAAGAAAGACCAGCAGTAAAAAACGAAAACAGTGGTTTGATTGGCTAATACAAGAACAAACAACCTGTTCACCAGGGCGCCACCAAGTCTCTTCAGGACAAACTTCCCTCCAAGACTGAAACTCAAAGGGAACACACAAGCAGGCATGTGAGCTAGCTGGTGACCACTTTGGTCTACATGTGAGTGGAAGAGGGGGAAAGGCAGTAATGAAGATATGGGCTAAGTTTGACCATGGTCCACAGACTCCTTTCAACCTTGAGATGAGAACGAGAAGAGGAAGAGCTGGATGGTCCGAAGTCTGGGGAGACCTGGAAACTCCTGAGCCCATGGACAGTGACCTAGCCATGGAAGGCTCTAGCTTTAGTTCAGCTCTGATTATCAAGCCATCAAAACTAGGTCAAATGGGTACTGTCTGCAAGTTTGGGTGGTCTTGTACGTTTCCCCCCATTTCATATCAGAAATTTGATAAAGGAAGCAAGGTGTAAATTGCTACAATTTGGTGAGCTTGACCTATACTTAAGGATGTAGTAGCTCAAAATACCAACAGAGAGGGAAGGAGT